GCAGTGGTCATACTGACTGTTTAGGTAGATGAGCATTCCACTGCTTAGCTATCCAACTCCTTATGAGAATGCCAGTGTGCTCACTGATGGAGCAGGTATATTGAGTGTGCAGTGTCCTAGTTACCACTGTCCACAGAAAGCACTACAGAATTGCTATGAAGACTAGTGACCAGCTGAATTTATGTTTAAACAAAGTTTAAGCTGCTCTGTTCTGCTGTGACTTGAGATGCACAGAATGCAGATTTGCTTGTTGCTCTTGGAAAACAAGGAGCTGGCTTACCATCAATCTGGTGATGCCAGCATGATGCTTTCCATGAGCCTTGGGTGTCTGGGGAATCCTGAATCCTCAAACCTAGGAATTTGACTGCATTTAGAACAAATCTGTAAGTTTTAAGACTTCAGCTTTTATATTCAAGTTGATGTAAAATATCAAATAATGGGGTTTATCCCTTTATAGTTTCATAGTTTCTAGGGTCGGAAGGGACCTGGGCAGATCATCTAGTCCGACCCCCTGCCATGGCAGGAAAGAGTACTGGGGGCAAACGACCCCAGCAAGATGGTCATCTAACCTCCTCTTAAAAACCCCTAGGGTGGGAGCCTGCACCACCTCACTTGGAAGCTGGTTCCAGCCCCTAGCCGCCCTGACCGTGAAGTAGCGCCTCCTGATGTCCAACTTAAACCTTCCCTCTGCCAGCTTGTGACCGCTATTCCTGGTCACTCCTAGCGGTGCTCGGGGGAACAGGGACTCCCCCAGTGCCTGTTGATCCCCCCTGACTAGTTTATAGCAGGCCACAAGATCCCCCCTCAGCCTTCTCTTCTGGAGGCTGAACAGGTTCAGGTCCCGTAACCTTTCCTCATAGGACCTGCCCTGCTGTCCCTTGATCATGCGAGTGGCCCTCCTCTGGACCCTCTCGATGCTGTCCACATCCCTCTTAAAGTGCGGCTCCCAGAGCTGGACGCAGTACTCCAGCTGCGGCCTGACCAGTGCCGCATAGAGGGGGAGGATCACCTCCTTGGTCCTGCTTGAAATGCATCTGTGGATGCACGACAAGGTACAGTTGGCCTTCCTAGCCACCTCCCCACACTGCCGAGCCATGTTCATCTTGGAGTCAATAATGACTCCAAGATCCTTTTCCACCTCCGTGCTGACAAGAGGGAAAATTCCCTCTTCTCTTCTGTCCATCTCTGGGACAGGACTCTTCTTCCTCAAGTTAATGTCCTGTTTTTTGACTGTCGAGAATGTTTCCTGCCTCCAGCATAAAGTCGCCTCCAGAAGCTGTTACAGGAGTAGCATCTTCACAGAAACCTTCCCTTTTTACAACAAAAAGCCTTGCTGATGACACATGGCTGTCCTGTTTGCTTGCATAAAGCAACGGCAATCTCTTGAACCATTTTCTATCACTGTAATACCAAAGGGGCAGGAGTTCTTACTGACCCAACAGAAATCTATAATTAACTTGTTGAACACCTCTAAAGATATCAAGAGGTGAAAACCTTGTTCCTAGGTGATGGCCTCAGTGTAATCTAATGGTATGTTTTCTCCCTTTCCAACAGTACACTCTTGTTTAAAAAACAAAAAACACCAAACCACCCCCCCCCCCCCCCCCAACCAAACCTCAAACACCTGCACAGCAAGAAGTCATTCAATCAGGAGTTTGTCCTGTTGGTCCTTAGTGATTTGCCAAACTCCTTAATAAAGAGTGGGTTTCTCATTATCTTGACACTAGAGGAAATTCTCTCTATTGCACACTTTGGTGGTGTGGCACAAGAAATGGAACCAAAAGGGTATGTGCGGTGCAGCAAAACATCCCTGAGTTTTGACATGCATTCCTGGACCCTCAGAGTTGCACATGTGGGTCTGTTTGGTGGGGTGACTGTGCCTCAAGGGTTAGCTCTTTTGCCAGCAATTTCCTTTTTGTTAGGGTTGTGTTGCTCCACCAGCTCTCATGTTGATAACTGTAGCTCTTCACTGCACTCTGTAGCATCCACCTGTGCTTTGTGCCAATGCTGGGTTGTTGTGTTTGCTTGTGGTGGCCGTTGCATGCTGTGTGTGTATATGTGCACGTGTGTGTGGTATCTGAAGCTTTCATTTGTTTACCTTTCGAAATCCTGTCTCTGACCATCCTTCATTGCTTGGATGGAAGGGGACCTCATTGCTCTGATGTTGTGAACTAACAGCTGTGCTGAATTTGATGCTATTTTCTTTATCAGTTATTGCTTTCCTTTTTCAGTCTTGCTGTGTTGTAATTTAATTTTATTTATTTTAACAATTGTAAGCACATGCATTCTCTGACTCTCTAGAGACATGTTGCTGGCTGCTTCAATCCATTGACACAGAACACTAAGCAAGAATGCCTACAATCATTCAACGAAAGGGGACTTCCTTCACAGCTAGACTAGTTTGATTTTGCCAGTGTCCTTAGTAAGATGTGGGTTGGAAAAAAGAAAGCGGGAGAGTTCTGTCACCAGTTCAGTCAAGGCAGTAAAAAGGATCTCTTTGTTCTGAGATGCCTGAAATTGGAAACCAGAGATCTTTGGTAGTAACAATGTGCTAAATTTCTGTAAAATTTGCATCAGACTTCTAACTTATGGCACAGCTGGTGTAATAATTATAGTACTTTAAATAACGGAGAACTCTGCGGGTATACATGACTAATCTGTCTGGCTTACTAGAACTAGGACCCTGTATAGATATTTCTGGAGAGTAGCTCATCCCTAATAGTATTTTAAAATATAGAGCCACTCTAGCACTGACCTACAAAATGTGTCCCAAGTGATGTTTATATTACAAGGGATTCTTCTGAGCCCTTTCAATTTAGGAATCAGAGGGATGAACAAACCTGAGGGCAATCTTATTTCATTGGCTCTAGTGACCCTGTGATAGTTGGTTAGTTTTTTAAAGGGGAAAGGGTGCCCATCCAATGGCAATTCAATCTTTATCTTTATGACTATACATTTATCTTAGGCTCAGGGTTGTGGTAAGAAGGAAGGAAGGAAAAGTCCTTTCTACTAAACCAAGAAGTCCTTTTTGTTGCAATGATGGAAGCCTCTTCTTTGGAATCATTATACTGCCATAGGTCACCTTGTTCTGAGGTCTTGCTTACTCAATGGCAGGATTCATTGGAGGATTTTTAGGGATGGTTGCTATTGAAATGTCCTCCAATTCCCATTATGTTGAACGCAGTATTTATTGCTGTAGGTTTTCAATCCTCTGATGAATCTGTTATAGGGAGGAGGACTTCAGAAACAAACTTAAGGCACTATATGAACAAAGAAGCTTCTTGTATTGAGCATTCTTGACAGCAATCTTAGAGCCCTTGTTTCCAATACTGTTAGAATATCAAGTTGTCAGGCAAAATTTGGGAAAACTTTAAAAAAAATGATAATGCTGTTGTTGCCTTCTTTACCATATGGTCGAATCTAGATATCAGCCTACAGAAGATGTCTAAGATTCATTGGATGCCCTCTACAAATGGAAATGGAGGGTATATGAAGGAGGGGATTTGATTTGTAAACCAGATACATCAGGCTCATCTCTGGAGGAGAGATCACTGTAGAGATTGCCCCCACCCCACCCTGGAGGTTGCATGTGCTTCTCATCCTGCCAGTGCACTGCATTTCTTGTTTTGCGATTACTTTTGTCTGTTGTCCCTCTGTCCTCAAAGATGATCACCGCAACTATGGCCCGAGGTGGGATGCAAATAAGACCACGGTTCCCGCCTACCACAGCTGTATCTGCCACGCCTCCAAGCTCCATTCCTTTGGGCGGACAGCAAATGCCACAGGTATTTACTGAGTTGAAGCACGTCGTGTCAGGGATTACAAGGCATTCAGTACTTGGGTTGTATTAGTACTCGTCCTTAAACTAAGGGGCGTTCACTTTTATTTCCATCCATCTAGAAAGGGCAGAGAATATAGATGATTGCTGTTGGTCATTTAGGGTGTTGGGCCGTTGTTTATTTTTTTGGAGCAGACCCATCCAAAATGTATCTTATACTCTCTAATTGAAAGCTCTTTGAGAGCCTGGGGGTATCGAAAGAAACATTGCTAAAATGGCGCACAGGTCTCATTGTAAGGTTTAAAACTTCCACGTTCATGTTTGGCTCATGTCTCAAATTAACAGAATTTTTGGTCTCTGCTTAATCTTTGTCCACATCACAAAACACTGCATGTTGAAGAGGGGCTCCAGGACTTGAGTAGTAGGATTCAAGTTCAGGACTGAAGTGAATGGGTTTAGCTGTGCTCAGAAGCTTGCTTGACACTTGCTTATTCTCTTGCATCAGTCCAACTAGAGTTAATGCCTCTTTCATGAACAGAAATTTGGATGATTTCAGTCTGGGTCAGTGTCCTGGCACCTAATACAGAAACAAGAAATGCTATTTAAAACAATCTGAACTAAAGAAAAAAAAGACATTTTAAAGTTTCCAGTAAAACTGCTGATTGCAAACAATCCATAATTGAAATAAGATGGTCATTTGGCAAATAGCATATGATCCTACCTCAAACAATTATGCTGAATTCCTCCACGCGTGACTCCTACTTACCCCTTAATTCAGGAAGTTTTCTGAATTTTGCCTTTTCTCTTACAGTACAATGTAGGAGACAGTATAGGTTCTTTGTGGTCTTGCCTCAGTGAAAAGTATATCTAGGCAGACTGGTGCTGGCTGTTACCAAATTGCTGTTGGATAGGATCAGAATACCATAGCTGCCTTAACAGACTAGGGCCACTGCTATCTTTTTCTCATGGTTGTTTCTTATCCAGGGTAAATGCCATCTCAGGAGCAAGAGAGATGGAGCAGGGGGAGGGGGACTTCATAAATGAAACAGAGGAAGTGTTGAGTACTTACGTTGCTACCAGTATTGTTGCAGCAATAAGTCCCACACTAGCTATCTGAATTAGTTAGGAAATCATGCACTGCTCTGGTTTATAATTACTCACCCAGCCCTGCCTGAGTGCTGCTGATTTGACGTTATCTCATGTAG